TGATATTCCCGTTCAACCCTGCAGTCCCAGCCTGACGATGCCTTCCGCGGCCGCTGATCTCACCCCTGCTGAATACCGTGCCCTGACGAAGTTATCGGAGGTGCTTTCCGCCCAGCTTTCTGCACGGCTATCCGCCCAGCTTTCTGCCCAGCAACTCCAACTGGCCGATACGCAGAAATCAATACTGGAGGAGCTTCGTCTAATACGCTCCAGTAATGCTAGCCTCAGTCAATCCACGACGACTCCAAATTTCACGGTGATTGACGACAGTCCCAACCGTGAGCCCCTTAATCCTCACCCAAGGTCAGTGCATTATGGCTTAGTGGATTTCATCTTATCTTCATAATTTTGTTTCTCTGTAAAATTGTTGATGTTCTTAATTCGCAAAAAAAAAAAAAGAAAAAAAGAAAAAGAAAGGATCAATTTTCTTTTTGTTTAGTTTCTCGGAAAATTTTCCATGCATCTTTAATTATATTCAAAGATATTGGCATTTTTACTGTTTTGTTTGTATTCGTCTCTATGTATACATGCTTACTAAAGTAGATGGTGCGGCTTTGACCTTGCTTCATTCATTGAATCTCTCTAGGTAGGTAGGTGTTTTGAAAATATTAATTTGACTTATATTCTATCTCTCTCCTCTCTGTCCAGCCCAGAGCATGCATCGGTGACTACACATCAGGGGGAAGATAGATCTGTATATTTATTGGTGTCTTTTGATGATCGCAAATACACAAATTCAATCTATAAAGTGACATTCAAACATGGAGGGGTCACTCATGAACCCCCAGTAGTTGGACTTGTGGCAGAGTACTATGACGGTTTTAACATCAAGGGTGCAAGAATTTTCAATCGCTCCAAATTATACATCATTCCAGAGGAAGTTTATGATAAAACTCGCGGGGACAAATCTTGCAGGCCATTAGGATACAACATTGACACCAAGACTGGGTCATATTGCTCATCTCTTCCTCCTAGCATAGCCTTTAAACGAACAGGAACTCTTGTATCTGCTTATGACAAGCTTTACTATGTTGCACTTCCAGGGTCCTCACCATCAATTAAGGAGCCCTCCTTCGAGAGATATGATCCTGATCAAGACGTTTGGGAGCGAATGACTTCTTTTCCATTTTATCGTGACTATGGGAGCCATACGGAAATAATTGGTTATGCCGTTTGTTATGGCGTTATTTTATTTTCATTATCGGACTCTTACATGAATCCATATGTCGTTGCTTTTCATGAGAGTAGAAACCAATGGAATCGAGTGACTTCTGCTTCTTATGCTTCTTTCCGAGGGAGGGCCGTGGTTGTCGGCGACACTATCTATGCCTTACATGCACTTATAGAGGAGGTGATTATAACATTCTCATTAAGGATGGACAAAGGTGAAGACGGTGGCATTGCATATTCCCTAAGCCCACTGTTTGTATTGCGTGGCCTGAAGATTGCACGTCCGCCAGTGCGATTTAATGAGCTTAAGACAGGGTATTTGGTTCATTTGGGTAACGAAGACTTTTTTCATGTCAAGACTGGCAGTCCCAATGAAGAAGCACTTCCCGTGGTTCAATATCTTTGTGTCACCACATTTCAAATTACTGTTGGAGAAGGAGGAAAACCTATGATCAAAACCATACATTCAACTGTTCATCCTGTGGATATCAAGGGCCGTGAATGGTTCTCACTTGAATTCTGCTTCACGCCGTAAGTTTTCTTCACGTTTATTGTGCTTTCATCAATAAAGTTACATTTGTACGTTGGAATTATTTTACGTTTTATTTGTAATAAGGTTTCTGATTATTATTTCTCAGTGAGTTCGGGGATTATGAACCCATAGAAGTGGAGAGTGTGACTAGTATGAATCAGCCAAAACAAGAAGAAACCACTTTGGATGAACATGATAAGGAGTTTTTGATCCGTAAGGGGACTCGTAGTAAGCTTCGAGCTTGCCCATGGCTAAGGTGAAAGAAATGTGTTTACAATGAAATGTTTTTATTTATTTAAATGATCATGAATCAAGAGATTCAATTGTATACGTTTCTTCAAGTGTTTTTATAGCCCTTGGGTTTACTTTCTCGTAATATTATTGAGTTTTGCAGTGGGAAGCTTGAAGTATAAGGCGCCATGCATCGTGAAAGGGCCAAGCACAAAAACACCCAATTAGGACCGCAAACCGAAAACATGGCGGGAGGGAGGGATTACGAGTGGAAGGAATTTAACTTGTAATGTAAGAAGGTGCTTCATGCATCTATATGACGAATGATGAGTTGGGAAGAAACTGCTTATATAGTTGTCAATTTTGGATTATGGGTTATCGCAAATTTTCTTGTGAGGAATGAGTTAAGCATATGTACCAAGATTATTGGCATGACATTTGCTGCATATCTTCCTAAGTTCTCAGTGCTATTTCTACACCACCACACACCCCCACACCCCCCACCCCCCCAAAAAAATATATATGTAAATTTAATATATATTGTTCATTGAATTACGATATGGGAGGGTTAGTTAATCTATGGATTGGTGATAATTGATTTCTGGTAAGAATTTATATTTTTGCATATATTCTTAGGTCTCTAGTGGCAAAGTAAATTTGTTGACTTTCAATTTGATCCAATGTGCTAGAGCTGTAGAGCCTAAAACTTGTATATGCTTCTTGATAGCATATAAAATTAAATGAAAAAAATAAAGGAAAATACTATAGAGTGCTGTTATTTCCACCCCTGGTCTTATTTTTCCATTCACTTTATCTTTCCACCCACCATGTAAATTTGAAATAACACAATCCTGTTTTACTACGCACCATTATTCCTAAATTACCTTTTAATTATTAATTCAAGCAAATTATTTAATTATTCATCCATCGATCTTCATGACCAATCACTAGCATGGGAAAATCCCACACAATTTATCTGTGTTTTTTTTTTCCTTTCTTATGGGCATAAAAATTCCAGTCATATATGTGATTACCCATACTCAGACAGTACAAAGAGCATCGTGTACTGGAGTCGGTGAGGGAAGAATCAAGAAGATACAAAATAACATGATGAGTACGAAAAAAAAGGTTCAGTGGGTAATTATTTTGCATTTTTCGGAAGTGATTGCGTGTAATTTTCAATAACTTTTTCTTTTCCAAATTTTCTTTGTTATTTTATAATCCAAAAATCAAACCATCTATGATTTGCTAGGAGTTACTAGAAGGGGGTTTCACTAAAACACCCAAAATGGAGGCTGAAATTATAAAAAAACCCAACACCCAAAACACTTTATAAACACACCCAAAAAATATACAATTGTTGATTTTGGGGTTGAGTTTGGGTGTGTTTCTATGTTTAAATAGTGTTAGGATTTTTTTATAAATACATGTCTAGGATTGGGTTTATTTATAAATTTGTATTACTAGAACTCGTCTAGTTTCTGCTGATATGCTGGTGTAGGTTGTTCTTTGGGATTTATCTCCCCTTTTTCATTAAAAAAATTAAAAAATAAAATAAAATCTCTTCCTAATGCCATACAAACGAAGTTCTTGTTCCAAACGGGTATAAATATTGGCAAACATTTTTGAAGGGGTACCTGCAACTGATAATGCCAAAGGGGTTGGGTTAAGTGAAATTCCTAACAAAGGCAATTGCTAGAAGTGAGAAAGGGAGCTTAGAAGTTGGGTTTTCATTTTGCCAAAGGGGAAAAAATGGATAAGAAGAAATAAAGAAAAACAAATGGATGGAATTGTGGGCTTCTTTTTTCGGTGACTATTGACAGCGAATAAATCACTAAATTTGTAGAGGCAATGAGAAGAAGATGAAAGGACAGAAAGAGTATTAACATGTGTTGAGGTTTTTTCTTTATGTCCTTAGAAGTCATTTTATAAAAGGGTAAATTTGTCTTCAAAAATTTGAAAATAAGGTGGGTGGAGAATTAAGACAAGAGAGTGAAAATAGCAACACTCATACCATAAGGTCTTATCTTTGTTTTGATAATTTAATACTCTTTTTCTTTAGGCTTTTTATCACAAATGGTCCTTCAGGTTTACAAAATTATCACGAATCGTCCCTTAGGTTTTTTTGTGACACTAATAGTCCTTTAGATTATCATCCACCCATCAAAATGGTCATTCTGTTAGTTTATGTCAAAACTTCCGTTAAAATCACATGCTCAGCTTGCTTTTTGAAATAATAATATCATCATTTCACTCAACCTTCGACCAAACCCAACCGTCAGAACCCTTTCCCTCCATTTCCTCATGGTCCTTCCATTTTAGTGCCCCTGTAGTATATAACCAATCAAAAAAGTAAACTTCTGAAGAAATTGAAACAATCCAAGCTCAAGAGAAAGACCAACAATGGAGAACTCTAGAGAAAGACCAAACTCATGGATCCATTTGAAAAATAGAAGTCCTGCAAATTCATTACCAATGGCACATCAAATACAGAGTCCTAAAAAAAGTATTGAACCACATCAGTACTCAAAAAACCAGTGCACCACATCAAAGACATCAATCTTGAGCAAGTCCTAACACAATATATCAAAATGAACTTCCCAAATCCTAACACAATACATCGAAATGAACTTCCCATACAATACATCAAAATGAACTTCCTTCCTCTTTTTGCTGGAGACTCAAGTCTTTTTTGCTGGGTTTGTAGTGTCGTGCCTTGGTTTGATGAAGAAGGTTGTGAAAGAGGAGGCTGTGAACCCACTGTTGGTATCGATGTATGAGATTGTGCAGTTGTTGTCCTGCTATGGCCTCCTCTTGCCACCTAAACATATTAATGTACTAGTAAAATGCCAAAGAAAATGATATTATATTTTGACCATAGAAAAATGACATATGAAAGTGAAAGAACCTTTAACTTTTGTTTCCTTTGCCTAACTAGCTTATCTTTGGGGTCCTTTCGGCCAATTTGAGGCTGCAAATCAAATCTCAACATTATTATGAATTATATAAGATCCCACATAGTTATACCTTTTTATATTGAAATGAAATGTGCAAAAGAATTTTATACCTATTTGGTAGCTGCATTTGTGCTAGAGGTCTCACATGTTTTCTTATTGTGTCCATCCTTGCCAGATTTGATGCATTTGAATTTATCATAAACCCATTTTCTTAGTCTATTTCCTGATGTTGCAGCCGGTGGTTCTCCTTGTTCTCTGACACGTTTATTTTTAGGTATCCAAACTTGCTTCTTATATAAAGGAGGCAACAATGGGTTAGGATCATGTCTTTGCCATTGATCTATGCTGGGCATTGGTGATATAATAGGGTTATAAGACTTCAGATAAGCAGCCTTTTTGTAACATTCATCTACATAGTCAAAAGGGTCTTGCCTTCTTCTACTAATGCAAGCGATTGCATGAGAACATGGGATCCCACAAAGATCCCATCTCATACAAGAGCATGATCTTTTTCCAAGATCTACAGCATATTGTCCCCCTTCCATATTTGTCACTTGGTACTTCATATCCCCATATAATATTGGAATGCAATACCCAGACTCAACCTTGTTTTTTTCAATCCTTGGTCCCACTGACTTTTTCCATTTAAATGCAGCAACCCTCCTATTTGCCATTCTCACCATGAGATTGGTCCTTATACTCTCAAGCATTTGAAGAATTGGCTTGTCCCTTGCCTTCACTATGGAAGAATTAAAGGCCTCACACAGGTTGTTTAACAACATATCACACTTATAATGGGTTTTAAAGTGAGATCTACTCCAGTGTTGGGTTGGCTTTGGATGCAGCCACTGCCAAGCTGCTTCACTTTCTATCTTCATCCTTTCCATTTGACATTTCCACCAAGGGATTGTTGTTTCTCTAGTTGCATCCCACAAAATTTGCTTCAATGTTAATCCAGGATGTGATCCCTTAAAGTTGTTGTAGAAATCCCTCACGCAGTGTCTATGTTCTGCATTGGGTATCAACTCAGCAATTGCAATGCTTAAACCTTTTCGTTTGTCTGATATAAAAGCGTAAGCATGGCCATTTTCAATCCTCAAATCCTTTATCAAATGTTGGATGAACCATACCGAAGTTTCCTTATTCTCAATCTCCACAATTACATAAGCTATAGGAAACATTCCATTGTTCCCATCTGATCCAACTGCTGCCAATAATTGTCCAGGATGTGGTCCCTTAATAAAAGCTCCATCCATACCTATTAGAGGCCTACATCCTTCTATAAACCCTCTCTTGCAAGCATCCAAACATATGTACTGCCTATGAAACCTTCTTTGATCACCATCCATCTTTGTTTTAAGCACCACTGTGCTTCTTGGATTTGCTTTCTTCAATTCCTCACAGTAGTCATGCAATTTGTGGAATTGATCCACAAAATCACACTTGTTCAATGTACATGTCTTCTTTCTAGCTCTATAGATTTGCTAGGAAGAAGGTTCCAACCCAAAATCCCTTTGAATTGTAGCTGTAAATCCCTTTACAGACCAGTCTGGATCTGCCCTTAACTCATTGGAATATTTCTCAGCCATAAAGGTTGAATTCATCCAAAACAACTTCTGATCAACTTGAACAATCATGCTCCAAATTCATTGTTTTAATCACCAAGGTTGGTGACTCATCAATTCTTGATGCATATATTACAAATGGACATCCTTCCTCACATGTAGCCCTCACCCTATTCTTGTCATTCTTCTTAAACCAAATTTTCTTCCTAACTTGCAACCACAATGAATCACAACCTCTTTGAACTGACTTTTGTTGGGAAAGTGCATACCAATATCAAAGCTTGGATTCCTCAACACAGAGACTCTCTTCCATTGTCGATAGTTAGGAACTCCTTTGGTTTTTTTCTTCTTGCTACTAACTTCATCATCCACATCAGATTCATCATACCCATGTTTGCTATGAAAATCCTCAGAGTTTTCCAAATGATCTGAAATCTCCCCTGCAAAACCCATCTCTTCAAGCTCATCTTCAATCGGATTATCTATATTTTCCTCAAACATATTATTATCGATCTCAATCTCTTCAGCTTCTCCTATTTGCTCATAGTCATTGTCTATGAATTCCATATCCAATGGGTCTTCCTCATCTTCATCTTGTTCCTCTTCAACCTCACTGTCGTTTTGCCCCTCATATTGTACCTCAAAAGCCTCATTTCCCCCCTCAGTAGGTAGGTCCCCAAGCTGCCATTGATTTCTGCTTGAATTCTCTTCTTGTCTTTTAAAGGTATCAAGGTTGTCATCATTCCAATCAATAAACAAACCATCCCAATTCAAAGATTGGGCCACATGAATCTCTTGCACAAATGGTATTTCGTTATCAACAGTGTTCATAGGCATACAAGGTTGATTTACTGGTTGTTGTCTAACTACATATAAAGGCATATTTCTACTCTTAGGCATGGCTGCAACCATCTTCAACACATGCTCATCATTTTCTAAGATTTTAAAATCCTCATTGTCCACCTTGCAAAAAAAATTAACTCATTCCTTTCATATCCTAATTCTTCTACAATCCTCACAAGCTCAATACATGACATTTTATCTCCATCTACGTGGTTAAGAACAAGCTAACAACATGACTAAATCGTGGAGAGTTTAAAACTCAAATACAAAACACCAATTTGAATAAGAAAGAACCGTTCAAACTGATGTATTGTGAAGAGTTTGACATACGTACGTACCTGGTGTTGGAAAGAGAATGGGGAGAATGGGGTCGTCGTCTTGTCTAGTGTTTTGGGCTAAAGAGATCAATAACAGTTGTTCAATGTCTTGTGCTTGATTCATATTGGAGGCGTGTTACTAACTAGAGTAATGCTACACTTACCACATTTATATCCCACGTTTTCATACCACCTTATGTGGCAGATGAAGTGGACAATCACATCAATTAAAAAGTGTCAATAAATCATGAAAGATAAGAAAACTTTAAATTAATTTTAATTGATGTGTTGTCCACTTCATCTGCCACATAAGGTGGTATGAGAATGTGGTATACAAATGTGGTAAGAGTAGCATTATTCTACTAACTAAAGGTCAACCAGGAAAAATCTATGTATATATATATATATATCTATATATATAAAGCAAAAGGCAGAGAATAGTGAAACATTCAAAATACCATAAAATGTCATTGGTTAATTCAAACATTAAGAATTTCCTTTATTAATTAAATGAGGATAATATGGTAAATTCATTTTTTTTTAATATTTAAAAAAAATAAAAATAAAAACAAAATCAGATAAGAAGTCCTATTTTTATGGAACATAACTACCCATGTTATCTTTTCTTCATTCTAAAAATAAAATAAAAAATAAAAAGTATTAAAAAAATTAAAATTAAAAGAAAAATCATATAATGGATCATATTTTTATGGAACACAACTACCTATTATTTCTTTAATTCTAAAAATAAAAGAAAAAATAAAAAAAGAAAGCCAATTGGCACATACGTGAGCATGTGCCAAGGGGCTAGTATATATAAAGCAAAAGGCAGAGAATGGTGAAACATTTAAAATACCAAAAAATGCCATTGATTAATGAAAATATTAAGAATTGAAATTATTAATTAAATGAGGATAATGTGGTAAATTCACATTTTTTTCATATTAAAAAAAAGAGTTTTAAGAAATTAATGACAGTTTTGTAATTTAAAAGAAGTTGAAAGCTTTTTTGTTATATTGTAAATGAGCTTTGGGTGTGTTTCTAAAGTACATTCCATAAGGTTTTTTTTTTATAATTTGGGCTCTTATATTAGGTATAATAGTGAATCTCTCTAAGAAAAACGAGTGATGGATTGATCAAGAAAGAAAATGTCAAGATGGGATAATATATATATATATATATATAAAGCAAAAGACAAAGAATGGTGAAATATTCAAAATACCAAAAAATGCCCTTGGTTAATTCAAACATTAAGATTGAAATTATTAATTAAATAAGGATAACATGGTAAATTCACATTTTTCATATTTAAAAAATTAAAATTAAAAACAAAATCAGATAATAGGTCCTACTTTTATGGAACATAACTACCCCCATTATCTTTTCTTAATTCTAAAAATAAAATAAAAAAGAAAACTAATTGGCACATGCGTGGGGCTAGTAAAGCAAAAGGCAGAGAATGGTAAAACATTCAAAATACCAAAAAATGTCATTGGTTAATGCAAACATTAAAAATTGAAATTATTAATTAAATGAAGATAATATAGTAAATTCACACTTTTTTATATTAAAAAAATTAAAATTAAAAGAAAAATAAGATAATGGATCCTATTTTTATGGAACATAACTACTCATTATCTTTTTTTAATTCTAAAATTATTTATTATTTCTTTTTTAAAAAGCCTCCCGCAAGTGCGGCCGCAAGTGCGGAAGCACATGCAAAGAGGCTAGTACTAATTAAGCTTCCAATTCCATAATTACAGCAAAATCAAACTAAATGTATACTAATTCAATGTCTGAGAATGGTTGATTGAAAACCTTGTTTTCAGGTCTTTGAACGATGCAATAATTATACCCTCAATCAGAAACGATCACAAAAGGTCTACTTACCAATTACATAGCAAAATATTAGGGTCAACTATAATCTATTTGTACCAAAAATTGCAATAACTTTTGTCAATTTCTTGCCAAAATACGTGATCTAGAAGATTTGTAGAAAATTCGTTATTTTGCATATCAAATAGATAGAAATTTAAGGCTAAAAATGTGACAAAAGCTCGTGTGGATGAGAAAGACTTCCATGAAACATGAATAACACTATTTTGGTATCCCCGATCAATAACGTTTTTACACGCATGACAACACTTCCACATGACATAGTATTATTGGTCAGCGATGACAAAATAGTGTTATTCCCGTTGCAACTAAGTTTTTTCTCCGTATGAAAAGACTAGTTGAAATTGTATATTAGAAGATATTTTAAAGTTACCAAAATTTGTTGACAGAATCAAAAAAATTCAAATGTCAAAATGAATTGAGATTCTTTGTACTGCGAATAAATGGACATTAATTTTTCATAATAGATCTTGTTTCTTCTTTGCACTTTTTTTTTTTTTTTTTGACATCATGGTCTCATTTCAGATGATTTGATGCAAATAAATTAAGGAAAAAAGACTTGCACGACCCATATTTTTAAATAGTTAGCCAAAGTTTTTAAGTAGAGAAAGCCGAATCACCATATGTACTTTTCTCTAATTTAGAGGATAGATTATGAACAAAATTATTCGAATCTAGTATATACAGATTAATCTTCTTTTTATATTGTCAACAGTTCACATCTGTCTATGCAAACTTTCTGTTTTTCTTTCAGAAGCTTTTGTTTTTGTCAAGCGAAATAGTTAGAAATTTTGTTAATTAGGTTATCTTTAGCTAAGGATTAATTTGGCTGGTTAAGTTTTGTTTTTGTCTATGCACCCCTAAATATTTTTTTTATTTTTTATTTGGCTGGTTAAATTAAAAGATTCATTTGAGTAAAACGGATAACATGAGTGGGACCTTACAAGTCCCCATATTTAGCTGGACTGAATAATTATGTGTGTATTTGGATTAATCCAAGGGCTTTTATTAAAGAGGATATCACACATATCCTCAAATTTAGGGGGAGTTAATCTTTAATTATTGTGGAGAATGCATAATATCATAAAAATGAGTAACAAACCGAATAAGGGGAATGTTAGCAACCTTCTTTTTTGGGCCTTCTCTCTTTTCCTCATGACATGTGACACTTTTTCTACCCTTAAAACAATGTCATTAATACAACAAACAAGCTAGTTTTTATTTTCCAAGTTTACCCTTCATTAATAAACACATTAACAAATTATGACTTTTCCTCTTCCTAGCTCCCTTACACGTCAAAATAAACTAGAGATGCTAGGATGTCGAAGGCATCTTTGTTGTCAACGTATAGAGTCCGATAAGGCAGCTTGTACACTCTTAGAGCAACTCCACTCATTTGCCCTTAGCCATAACAAGGGGGGAGCTAGGGTAGCCACTATTCACGTGAATAGTAGTTGCCCTTGCAAATAGTATTTTCCGTTTTCACCCGTTGCCATGGCAAATGGCAATTACTATTCTTTTTTTTTAACAACTTTTTTTACCTTAATAATTAATTTGGATAATATTTTCGGATAAGATTTTCGGGTTCCTACGTGTCAATACTATTCATATCTCATAATCGGATAAAATTTTCAATTTCAACTTTCAAAAACTTTTTTTTAAAAAAGGCTGGTATTTATAGAAAAAAATTCATTAATTTTTGGGTATTTTTTAAAAAAATTTCTGAAT